AGGAAGTCCGTCGGTAAGTGGCAGGTAGGTAAATCCTTCCTCAGTAAAATAAACCAACAGAATCCCTCGGTAATTACCGATGGACCCCATCGGAAAGCCATCGGTACATTTCTGACAGTAGTTGGTCAAATAATTTTACTTACCGACGGATATCCGTTAGTATATTATAAAATAATATAATATTAATAATATCAATATCGACGGATATCCATCGGTACATTAAAAATAATAATTTAATATTATCGACGGATACGATCGGTAAATTTAAAATTTTAATTTAGTAAGTACTTGCGGAGGGCCTCCCTCGGTATGGTGCAATGAGCACAGAGCCTATTAGACTTTTGTCTTTTGTTTGACTACTTAAAAATCGTTGCCAAGTTAATGAATGATGAGTTTTTAAGCAATTTTGAATGTTCTAACTGCAGAAAGTGGAACTTAATAATAACTTCCTTGGCACTCTAAACTATTTACTAGAGTTATCCCGTCAGAAAATCCCTGGAGATATACAATGTTTTTTCTCTCGTGCAATATTATTCTAACTTCTTTTACTTTATTTGGTGTGCCTACTCCTACGGTGGGGTAGCAAGTTGTTAATGTTAGTTTGTCTACAACAAAACAATATAGCTAATCCAAGTAACCATATCAAAGAGAAGTCAAACTCCTGAACATTAAACACGACACTTGCATCTCTTGATTTTTCACGATTTTACAATTAAGAAAACCCAGAACTTTTACCATGTACTGAAACGAAAAACAAAGAGCGAACAGCAAAACAAACCACAACCTTGCAAACCATAGCTTAAATTAATTATATCCAACATTTGGTTTTAGAGAAAGAAAGGAGGAAATTGTTCCTTAGTAATCAGCGGTGGGGAGCTGCTCGTGAGTGTTGTCACCAATGAAAATAATTTCATAAACCAAAGCAGCAATGGCAGCACCAACAAATGGTCCGAGCCAGTAGACCCAGTGGCTGTTCCATGTCCAGCTAACCACTGCTGGACCAAATGACACAGCAGGATTCATTGATGCACCATCAAAGGCTCCACCAGCCAAAATGTTCGCACCTACAATGAAACCAATTGCAATTGGGGCAATAATTCCCAAATTGCCCCTCTTAGGATCAATTGCAGTTGCGTAAACGGTGTAAACAAGCCCGAAGGTCATCACTATCTCAAAAACAACTGCGTTCCATGGGGTAACTCCTGTCGAGAGTGCGAATGCTGATGTTTCCTGCGTTATTTTTAAGTAATTTCATCAGTAAAACTTTAGGAATAAACTCAGTACAAACACATATACTAGTGTAATTTTCTTTATTAATTAATTACCAATCCACCAGTAGCAAACTTGAGGAGCACGCAAGCGACGACAGATCCAAGCAATTGGGCAATCCAATACAAAACACTTCTGAAAAGGGTAATGTGACCTCCCACGAAAGCACCGAATGTAACCGCAGGATTTACGTGACCTCCAGAAATATTTGCTCCTACTGAAACTGCCACAAAAAGTGCAAAGGCATGGGCTATAGCCGCCGAAATCAATCCAGCAGGCGTGGCTGCTCCGCCATTTGTTAGTTTACCTGTGAAGAGTATCAATATTTTCAATAGTTATTATTACAGGTTCTAATACCCGTGATAGTGTAAAAATTCTTTACATGCTCATTTAATAGGCCTTGAATCATGGACTTACCGAAGGCCATGCCAGAGCCTTCACCGGCAAAAACAAAAATGAGCATTGAAATGAACTCAGCTAGTGCAGCCTTGAGAGCATCAGGCTGACTAGCCTCTGCTAAATTTCCGAGGGAAATTTTTGAAATCGGCATTATCTTTTCTTCTTAAAATTGTATGTTTTCTTTGAGGAAGAAGAAATTAAAAGCTCTATATTTGTGAGACTGTTTATTTCCTAGCAGCTATATGCCACTTCAATATATATAGTGGACTAAATAAGAGGAAAGCCTTGGGCTGGAAACCACCTGTCATTGTTCCTTAGGCGTGCCTCCAAATTGTTTGCATGCTGACACGTGGCATATAATGGAATCCTTTTTGTTGGAATTGGTTGATATAAGGGATTGAACTTTGAGGGGCCGTTTGGTTAAAAACTAAGTTGTACATGGATTATAATTTATGAATTAGTAATACACATATTATTTCTTGTTAAGTGTTTGGTTCATTTCACTAAAATTAGATATGCAAGATACAAGTTAAAATATTTGTTTAATTTCTAAACTAAAAACTAATGAGTTTGCCATTATACCCTTGGATGCTTGATTTTCATAGGCTTCTAGAAAATAACAATGACAATTTTGTCCTTTTGATGCTTTATCTATGTAGAAATTAGACATGGATTATTTATTCCATGTTGATAGTGGTATAAAGTTATACCAAAATTGGTGTATAACTTTATACTAGGATTAACTTTACATGAATAGAAAAGTAAACCAAACAATGTATAATTATTACAACTCCTTTATAGTAGTATTAATACAATTTAATCAACTATATCAATTTATCTTTAGGTTATGAAATTATTTATCATTATAGGTCAATTTAATATGATGAAATAAAAAAATTATACACCATTAAATAAAAACATAAAGAAATCGAAAGAAGGAATGAGGTTATAAGGATATACAGCCGACCAAAATAAGGAAAATGATAATAGGGTCCATCAAAATGATTGTTGCTCGAACCGACCATTTAACCGACTGTGGAATCTATGATAGAGACAACCATGGTCAGCTATGGACTTAATGGTTAGTTGCATCAGTTAATCAAAAAATCCTTTTGTGCTTAATTACAGATTATTTTTTAGAGTTAAAGAAATTATGTTATATATATAATATATGAAGGATCCTTTTGTTATGGGTCTTTTACCTCTCCAAGTTTGGCTAGGTATAAATATGTGTAATCTTGATAATAAGCTTCTAAGATCAATCTGATTAAACCAAATATGACTTGTTATCAATTGAGTGACATGTATTTTATAATTTTACCCATAATAATGATAGCATTTCCAAAAGTCTTGAAAATGATTTGGGGAATGAGTAATTAATGATAAAGGTAAAATAGAAAAAAAAGATTGTTTTTCTTTAAAGTAAAAGTGAATGGAGAGAATACTGCAGTTCCAATCAATAAAGGACAGCCACAAGTTTAAGTTTCTTTAAAAAGGAGAGGGAAGGTGGTGGCTTGTAATTATGATGTGATAAACAAAGTTATTATGCTGTCTTTATCAATGATTTTAATTTTGTATATGAACAGTCCAAGATGCTTTTCAATATGGATTAATCAAAAAACTGAGGGCCAATGAGCTGTTAAGTGCAATTATAGTAGTGAGTAGGTACGTAATGGTGGACTTGGTGCTTTACCACTTGATAAAAGAAAAATGCTTTTTATGATTTAACAAACCAAAGCACCAATTACGCATTAATTTATCATCTCTTCTGATAATACTATACAGAAATTAAGTTTCCTGCCTTCTTTTTTCTAAATTATCTTCTACAATTTAAATTATTTTGGGCGGCTAAGCTAACAACTTTTCTGAATTTGTTCAAGAAATGCTGGACCTCCTTGTTTGTTTGGACACTCTAAAAGGAATATTAGCATTTTTTTAAGCTTTATTCAGCCATTTTGACAATCATTGAAATTTTCCAGTTTTCGTAAGAAGAACTAATGAAGAACCGTTTGTGAAAAGGTAAATGTAATGTTACTTTCGCCAAATATGTTTTCAGATTACACGAATGGCTTCTAATTTACCTTTTTAGTTTCATTTCAAAAAAAAAAAAAAAAAATCATATTGGCAAGCATTTTCGTGGGAAAATATGTGAAGGTATTAGATACTATTGGGATGAAAAACCAGTTAGATGAAAGTGCTAAATCAATTAAACCTCCAGAATGAGTAGTAATACCACTTTAAAGACAGATAACCGATGCTACTCCACAAGCGCTTAAAAAAAATGGTACAAAATAACCCGTTACGATTTGAATAAAAGAAAATAACTCTACAATATCTTCTTTGTTACATTATCGATCCCCAATGCGTTAAGATAAATACCTCGTCATATAACTAAAACAATATTAGTATATAACTACTTACATGCCTTAGCTTCTAGTATGTAGTATGTTCTGACAATGGACTTGAGGAACTAGGATTTGATATGGATAGAACTTTTTACGGATTAACATATCCAAAAGCACGAGGGTTGATATCTCAGAAATCAGAACGAAGGATAATTAACTTCTTAGGACAGGTTCCAGTTCTGTAAACAAAAGAAGGATTTTGAACCTTAAACACCTTAATTCTTGGCCAATAAGCATGAAAAGTGTAAGTGCTGTATGGCATGTTTTTTCCTTGTAAAACCAAATCTCATGTAGATTCCTCCTGCTTTGATCCAAGAATGGACAAGATAGAACCTATCAGGGAATTTTGAGCAAAGCAGGTAAAGAAACTTGAACAAAGTAAATAGTACTAATTGGTACCAGAGCATTCTAAGAAATTACTTGTCTTCTATTGATTAGAAAAATATGCCTGGGATGAAGGACCATTCTGGAGAGCATAAGAAAATGAACAAAAGAATCTACTTAAATAGGACTATCTTATGAATATTTCAAGAAGCAGTTTTCCTTGTCCTTTAGCTTTGCAAAATTCAAAATCCAGACTGCTCTTATAAGTCAAGCACAAGTCGGGCAGAAATATATGTTCAGGAAAAGTGAGATATGGCTTTCAAAAAAGAATTAGACAACGTCAGGGATTTGAAGCTCCACCCAACTTACTTAGTCACGACATTTAGGACAAGAATCTCACTTGGAAGGAACAAGAAACTCAACTATGAAGCTGTGCCTTCAATATTCCCCAAATTCTAAGTGCCTCGACCTCCTTCACTCTGTTTCAGAGAGGCTCGGCTGCAATTTTAAAATGCTATACCAGTTCGGGATTATCAAGAAAATTATCATGTTTATTGGACTTTTGTGATCATCAGATAAGAGTTGCTTAATTAGACTCTAGAAGCAGTTGATACAAAGATATTAACCTGCGCGTGGTACTAATGAAAGGACAAAAGTAATCACCACTTCAAGATTTTATACACTTACCAACACATGTTTCTCATGATATCTCTAGCAAGTCAATCGATCATAAGACCTGACAAAGAATAAGGCCAGACTTACAGCATCAAAGAACACATTTCCATTTACAGTATTTGCTATTTAGTTCTGTACATGATAATAGTTCAAGGCTTAGGACTTTCAGGAGTTATATCTCTGAATACTTGCAATCTGTTCCTCCGCAATAACTCGACTGGAGTGTGATTAGCAATATCTCCTATAGGTGGCAAAGAGTTCAAGCTTCCACATTTCAGCTCTTTCCCCTGGAATTTAGATGAACAATTTTCTTTTCTGTCATTCTGTTCAAAGCACAAGGAACGCCTCACTTCTCGTCCAGGTTGTGTATGATATCCTTCACTCAGACACAACGACTCAATGTTTTGGCTAAGATTAATAATATTGGAATCGACATTCTCATTGCCATCGGCATATTTGCTTGGAGTTTCATAGAACTGCAAATCTAGTTCGTCCTCTTCCACCATATCAGCCCAACTCTTCTTGCTTTTACATGTGGCCAAGTCTAAAGGTTTCATGTTTGTACTCTCTAAGTGTTCAGTGGTATCCGTTAATGTCACCACATCTCTAAAAGTGAAAGTGGAACTCTGACAATCTTTACCCCCATCTTCAGAAAATTTTCTTGCACTTGAATTATCAGCCGATGATTCTGCGGGAGAAATTTTTTCTGATCCATCATTTTCTGGAAAGTTCTGTTTCTGTTTGTAGCAAAGTGGCTGCAAATCAGATTCACTTTTCATGTTAGCACCATTTCTGGATGACTTAGAGAACTCTTGTCCACGTACAAGGGACGCTCCTTTGCTCATCTCATCAGCAGAAATGAGATTGTTGAAGTTATGGTTTGCCACTGACTGCACATTCTCATTATTTGTTGTTTGCTCAAATAACAGTCTTCGACTACAAGCATTAACAGTATCCTTCTTGAACCAACTGCCGTCATTGAGTGAACATGAAAATCTTCTAGGTTGCGTAAAAAAGTCCTTTGGATGTCCGGAAGCAGAAAATGGAGATGGATATGTGCTCTTGTTTCCCCTGCGATTATGTCCATCTGATGTGGACGATCCTAGCATTTTCTCGTGTTCCTTAGAGTTCCAAGTGCCATGTGATTCTAACTCAGCTAGCATTTGAGTGGCACGCTCCAAGGACTTGATGCATGAGTCATCCATCTGCCTTCTATCTGAAGCTTTTATGCTTTGAATCAGAAACTTAGCTTCTGTAATCTTGTTCATATGCATCAAACAGATTGCCAGATTACTTTGCTTGTTCTTATCCGGTTCGAGAGAGAGTGCTTTTCTGCATTAAAGAAATTTCCATATAAAGCCAATTTTTTCTCCAAATAATGGCACATCTCTGATGCTCAATTTTGTGTGATTATTACCTATAGTACTCTTCTGCCAATTTAAAGTTATTCAGTTGCATATGTGACCATGCCAAGTTCCCTAACAATCTGCACTTATGTCGAAAATTCCAAAACAATCTGCACTATGTTAGACAGGCAAGAAATAATGCTGAAGTTGAAGATAAGTAATTGCAGGTACAACCTCGAGTACTCCTTTTCAATTGTGATTTGAACTTTTTTTCCTTGAGATCTAGCAATCTTAGTCTTCTTCCCACCAAAAGCTATGCCTTCTTCGATGCTCTTCAATTTCAATTCAAGTAATTTAATCTCTTCTTCGATCCTACCAGATCTCTGCAGAAAAACAAATATAAGCAAAGTGGTCACAGAGATATACTGCAGGATTCACACAATCATTAGAGCAGCATCCTCATATTGTAAAAAAATATAGGTTGCTATATTATCATAACACCTCCACTATAAGTGGTGTAAATTCAGCCTTTCTTTTGAATTACCTGTTTATGTGTCTAAGACATAACTGTTGCTATTGATACAGCTTCCTTTCACTCCCCCTTCTTCATTTTTCTCTTTCATTTATTTAGTTCCACAAACTTTAAGCATATCCAAACCAAATATTGGCTGTCAAGACTAAGTCTATAAAAAGATGCCGTTACATCTATTTTTTATTTTTTTTGCGGTGACTCACATCTAATTTGTGTTTGTATAAATTAGGAAAAAATGTGTTAGTCAAAATTAGATGGAATTAAGCCTTCAACAGGAGGACAGATAACAACTACTAGTATTCTTTACAATAACAGTCGCAACTATATCAGCTAATATGATCTAGGAAATGGTGTAGGCATAAGACAACCAAGATATACATATTCAAGTTAAAAACAATGTAAACTTCAATATAGAACTATTATTTCCCTACAGTCTTGAAGCACATTCTACTATATTAGCTAATATTATCTAGGAAATAGTGTAGGTTATAAATAATGCAAACATCAATACAGAACTATTATTTTCCTTCAATCTTAAAGCAAAATCAAATAGTATAAGATGATAAGCTACCTTGTAGAGTTCAATCAAGATATTGTCAATAGACTCCTGTGACTCAGAGGGACAAAGATGTCGAAATGACTTTATTGCTTCGATTGCCTCGTCTGAACGATTCAACTGTTTCATCACAACTGCCATGTCTTTCAGGGCACTATCAACTCGGTCACCAGAATTTATTGCTGCCCAGAACAGAGATATTGCCTTGCTTGGATCCTTATCAATTAACTGCCATTTGATTACAGATTAGTAAACAACTTAGTTGAAAAAACAATGAACACATTTCCTCACCAAGATTGTGTAACTAGCCCAAAGTGAGAAATCTGTCTAGTGAAGCACCTAATCTGATTGAAGGCTTTCCAGGGTAAATAAATACAAAAACAAATTTTCTATAAACCCCACAAGGGTATTACGTGAAATGAAGAGGATATATCAAGAAAAAAGACAAAATTGAAAATTCACCTGGCTTTGCAAAATACATTCGGCCTATACATATATAATAACTTAGATAAATTAACCATAAATTCTTCATTGATATGATCTGATAATTTTATTATTCGATTTTACAACCATTAACAATATGATTTTATCTACAGATTACTAAGATAAGGCGCAATTCCAAAATATGGGAAAAAAGAAGAAGATAATTAAGACTCACAACAAGAAATTATCAGTGCAAATAAGTAAAAGAAATACAAGAAAGGAAGAGAAAACAGAATTGAAAAGGCCAATGCAGCATAAAAAGAAAGTAGAAAATAAAAATGCACTAACTTGAACATGTTTGGCTCTGACATAAGGAGAATCACCAGCAGGAACTTTATGAATAACATGAAAAAGATCAGGTTTAGCACTCTGTGCATGAGTTGGCCTCCTTTGGTTCTTTTCCGACGCCGGCGATCTCCATTTCGGCGGTGGGGTCAAGAAACCCCTTGTTGCCTGAGTCATATGATCACTCTCGTTATTCCTCCACATTCCAACAATAAACCCACTAAGTCCCTTAATTAAATTTGCAAGAATATGCAAAATTGTGGATGAAATTCACAATGGGCTGTGAATTCTTGAAGATGAACTTTGAGACACTTTCTTTTGGCAAAACAGATGGAATGACGATCAATTCTTTTTTCTACTGAAAAATGATACTTTGATCGCCAAGAAAGTGGTATTAATATTGGGAAAAGAAGAAAAAGAAAAGCTACTTTCTCTTGCGAGAGAGAGGAGAGAGTAGGGAAAAGCGGTCAATTGAGAACAAACTAGCCGTTAAATATAAGGTATCCGTTGACATAGGAGACGCCTGCAATTGAGCTAGCATGTGCAAATCACGTGCAAATCAAAATTTGACCATTGGCTAGTGTATGACCCAAAAAATAGGTCTGGGTTTTATATAATTGGATTTGTTGAAAGACGAGGTTAATCATAGTAAATATTAATATTCAATGATAGATCCAGCACTTTACGGCGAAGACAATGCGAGATACTCGCTCTGGTCCATAATAAGTGACTATTTTGCCCTTTTATTTTGGTTCAAAATAAGTGTCATTTTTATATAATAAAGAATGAATTAACTATAGTTTTTCAAATTTTCCCTTGTGTACATATCTCAATGTGTCAAATTAACAATATGCAAATTTTAATTAAGGGTAATTTAGTCAAATACTTATTTATTTTCTAGGAGTTAGTATTTTATTAAGGGGTATGCCAAAGGCAAAAAAAGTCACTTATTGTGGACCGGAGGGAGTAGTAATGGAGCAATAAAGATTCAAAAATGTAAAGGAGAGTAATAAATAACTTTCAAATAGTAAATTTAGATAAAGACAACCTGACAAAGATGAGATTCTCGGATGTCTTTATGACAATGATGGATAATGATGATCAACCTTATATTTTTCACGATCCAAAACCCAACCTGTCATGATGACGCCTATCATGGTACTAGGCAAGTCGACTACTCAGACATTTCCAACACTTTCAACTTTGAAATATACTAAAACAGTTTAAATTAAAAAAAATCTCATAAAACGGGATAGAATATCATAACTCAATATATAACTTTTCCCAAAATCGGGGTGTCCCTAAGTATATGAGTATCTACATAATGACATAGTCTGGTACACTGTCTAGAAAGTAGAACTGAATAAATAAACGGAAAGATAGGGGAGGAGAGTTAAGGCCTGCGGACGCCAAAGCAGCTACCTCGATGATCTCCGAATGTCTGAACTTTGTGAATTAGCAATCGCCATGACCGAAAATACCTGGATCTGCACACGAGGTGCAGGGTGTAGCATGAGTACAACCAACTCAGTAAGTAACAAGTCTAACTTTTGGGCTGAAAGCAATGATGAGTTTCACAGGTAGAGTTCAATTACAAAATTTCAGTACATAAATGTAAACATACTTCCAAATTAAACAGTTAAAGCCCAAACAGGTAAATCATGTCAAGTTCAATTGAAATAAGATATGGTACACCTCGGTATCTACATGACAGTTATATATGCCAACTGAAATATAAAAACAGTAATGAAATCATATGCATACTCTCAGAGTATCAGTCACTCAGTTCTCTCATTCACTCCATCCTCACATTCACTCATTCCTCACAGTCACTCCATTCTCACAACCACTCAATAATCCCAATCGCTCGACACTCGCGCTCGGCACTCGCACTCGCACTCAATATTTACATGCGTCCATTGTGGATGTGCAGACTCCGGAGGGGCAATTCCAGCTCAAGCGCTATAATAAGCCAATCTAGGCATAAATCAATAAACATGTTGCGGCGTGTAACCCGATCCCATAAATATCTTCACAATCAGGCCCTCGTTCTCACTTAGTAATCAATCTCTCCAGTCTCTCGGGCTCACAAGAATCATGATAATCACTCCAAACAATGATGATATAATATATCAAAAAAGAACAACAGAGACTGAGATATAACATGCAAGGAATAGCTGTGATTGAGTACAAAATGACAATTTAAGCAAATAATTCAACATGTAACACGACCTATGTGGATCTCAACAGTACCAACACGTGGCCTAAACATGATTTCTAGCATGATTGGCACCTCAACTTCTCTAACACATGGTTAAAATGCGGGTAACGACAAGATTATTCAACTATACAGTTCCATGGAATTGACTAAGCCATAATTCCTATGGTGCACGCCCACATGCCCGTCATCTAGCATGTGCGTCACCTCAACACCAACCACATAACACGTAAATCGGGGGTTTCATACCCTCAAAACCACGTTTAGAAGTATTACTTATCTCGAACTTTACAAAATCCCTACTTCAATAAGCCCTTGCCTTGCGAATCGGCCTACGAATGCCTCGAATCTAGCCACAAATAATTTGATACAATCAACACGAGGTAAATGAATCAATTCCATAAAAAAATACTAAATTCTTAATCAAAAGTCAAAAAGTCAACTCAAAGCCGACCTACGGGCCCACGTCTCAAAATCCAATAAAAGTCACAAAATTCGAAAGCCCATTCAACTACGAGTCTAATCATATCAAATTTACCAAATTCTGATACCAATTCACCACTCAAATCCAGAAATTAAACTCTCCAAATCCCTAACTTCAAACTCCCAAATTCCACCTCAAAAATACACAAACTAGGTGGGAAATTCAATGGGGAAATAAGATAATTGAATAAAAATGATCACAAGTGACTTACCTCAAAAAACCTCTCGAAAATCCTCTCAAAAATCGCCTAAGCTCGAGCTTGCAAAGTCCAAAATGAGAAAAATCACGAAACCCTCGAATTTAACATTCTACCCAACTGATTTCGTTTCTGCGGATCATTTAACCGCAACTGCGGTTCCGCTTTTGCTGTCCAAGCGCCGCATCCGTGGAGCTACACTGCACACTGGCCCTTCGCACATGCGGCCACTAATCCGCACCTGCAACCTCGCTTCTGCGAGAATTTCTCCGCTCCTGCGGACCTGCCTCACCAGGCCCTCTTTCGCTTCTGCGAAGCTTCCTCCGTGTCTGCATATTCGCAGGTGAAAAAATTCCCTTCGCAGCTGCGAAACTCCCCAACTCAAGCCAACCTCGCTTCTGCGCCCCACCAGCGGCATCGCACCTGCGGCCAATCCCCTTGCAGGTGCGATCACACCAGAAATGAGAATTTCCAGCAATGCTTCAAGTCCAAATTATCTTCCGTTAACCATCCGGAATCCACCCGAGGCCCTTGGGACCCCAACCAAATATACCCTCAAGTCCTAAAACATCATACGAACTTGCTCGAAGCGTCAAATCACATCAAACAACGCTAAAACTACGAATCGCGCATCGATTCAAGCCTAATGAACTTTGAACTTCCAACTTCGACATCCGATGCCGAAACCTATCAAATTAAGTCTGATTGACCTCAAATTTTACACACAAGTCATAAATGACACAATGGACCTATTCCAACTTCCGGAACCAAAATTCGATCTTGGTAACAACAAACTCAACTCTCGGTCAAACTTCTTAATTTCTAACTTTTGCCATTTCAAGCCGAATTCAACTACGGACCTCCAAATTACTATCCAGACACACTCTTAAGTCCAAAATCACACAACGGAGCTATCGGAACCATCGAAACTCTATTCCTGAGCCATTTACACATAATTCACATCTGGTCAATCTTTTCAACTTAAGATTTCAACCCTTGAGACTAAGTGTCTCATCACATTCCGAAACATCTCCGGAAACGAACCAACTACCCCGACAAGTCACATAGCAACTAATAAGCATAAAATGAGCAGTAAATAGGGAACGGGGCTACAACACTCAAAACGACTGGCTGAGTTATTACATCCTTCCCCTCTTAAAAAATGTTCGTCCTCGAAAGAGTCTAGAAACGTACCTGGAGTCTCAAATAGGCGTGAATATCTGCTCTACATCTCCCACTCGGTCTCCCAAGTAGCCTCCTCAACTGGCTGACCTCTTCACTGCACCTTCACTGAAGCTATATCCTTTGACATCAACCTTCTAACATACCGACCCAAAATGGCCTCTGGCTCCACGTCATAAGTCAAATCATCACCAACTGAACCGTGTTGAAATCTAAAACATGAGACGGATCGCCGACATACTTCCGGAGTATAAAAACATGAAATACTGGATGAACACTCGACAGACTAGGCGCCAAGGCAAGCTTGTAAGCCACCTCTCCAATCCTCTGAAGCACCTCAAACGGCCCAATATACTGAGGGCTTAACTTGCCTTTCTTCCCGAACCTCATAATACCCTTCACGGGTGAAACCTTGAGCAGTACCTTCTCCCCAACCATGTAAGCAACATTGCGAACCCTCCGATCGGCGTAACTCTTCTGTCTAGACTGCGTCATGTGAAGCCGATCCTAAATCAATTTGACCTTGTCCAAAGCATCCTAAACCAAGTCAGTACCCAATAGCCTAGCCTCACCCGGCTCAAACTAACCCACCAGAGACCGACACCGTCTCCCATACAAAGCCTCATACATAGCCATATGAATGCTCGATTGATAGCTGTTATTATAGGCAAACTCTGCGAGCGGAAGGAACTGATCCTAAGAACCCCCGAAATCTATGACACAAACGCGTAACATATCCTCCAATATCTGAATAGTGCGCTCGGACTGCCCGTCCGTCTGAGGGTGAAATACTGTACTTAACTCAACCTGGGTGCCTAACTCTCACTGCACTGCTCTCCAAAATTGTGATGTAAAATGCATACCCCAATCTGAAATGATGGACACCGGCACACCATGAAGGCGAACAATCTCGCAGATGTAGATCTCAGCCAACTGCTCCGAAGAATAAGTAGTCCCAACTGGAATGAAGTGCACAAACTTTGTCAACCGATCCACAATTACCCAAATAGCATCAAACTTCCTCGAAGTCCGTGGGAGCCCAACTACAAAATCCATGGTGATACGCTCCTATTTCCACTACGGAATCTTAAGCCTCTGAAGCAATTCACCCGGTCTCTGATGCTAATACTTCACTTGCTGACAATTTAGGCACCGAGCTATAAACTCTACTATATCCTTCTTCATCCTCCTCCATCAATAGTGCTGCCTTAAGTCCTGGTACATCTTCGCGGCACCCGGATGGATGGAATACCACAAACTGTGGGTCTCTTCAAGAATCAACTCACGTAGTCCATCTACATTAGGCACACAAATCTGATCCTGTATCCTCAACACCCCATCATCCCCAATAGTAACA